GCCGCCATCTCTCCCTCCCCCTCTCTCTCTGTCTCTGTCTCTGTCTCTGTCTCAGGTCGATTTTGATAAGTAAATAAAAAGTGGGTCGATTTTGAAAAATAAAAATGTTTTGGGGCTGTTTTGAAAATTTGTTCATTTCTAAAAATATACTGATTTCAACTACGAAATTAATCATATATCCTCAATAAAATTTATGTACAACTAAACAAGTTTTAATTGAATTTTATCCTCTCGTATAAATCCGCTTTAATATCTATTAGGACAAACACAATTTTATTATGGGTTTTCCATATCCATTACATGCATCAATACTATCCCATAAACCAAACAGCCCCTCAGCCTCACAAATAATTTGGCTTCGTTTGGATACCATGGTGTTGTGTTTTTCTCTAAAAATATTCTCAAAACAACATGTTAAGTATTTTTGGTTAACACTAGTTTGACCCATTATAATATTAGATTAAACATATTATTAATATATTATATATTAATTATAATAAAATATATTATAAATAAAATGTTATAATATTTAGTTTACATTATTATAGTATTATAAGTATTAAATGTAATGCCATATAATATTGTATAATGTATTATAATATTATATTGTACTTTAATTATTTATATAATATAATATTATTAATAATGTTAATATTATGTAATTACTAGTATGCTATTAATAAATTAATATATTATAAATATCTTAATATTATATAATATATTATAGTTTTTACTATGTTAGAGTTTATTAATAGTACTTTAATAATATATTAGTAGTTATGATTGTTGGCCTCTTTGTTTTGATGATGTTTAACAAATAATTTACCAATAATGTTGTTCGTCTAGTGTTTGTGTTTTTGTATCAATTGTAGACAAACAACATGTTGGAGGATAGATGGAATTACGTTTTAACGATCATATCCAATGGAGGTTGGCGGAATTGTGGAGTGAAGCCTTACAATTCAAGTTGAAGATCTAAGTTCAAGCTTCTTCCGCATAGTATACCAAGTCAAGCTTATTGAAGATCAAGATTGATTGGGTAACATTAGTTTAGGTTTATATTATGTGTGTTAGTACTTTAAGCTCAATCATATATACACACACATTATATTGGTTTCCATATATATATATATATATATATATATATATACAATTTAGTTTTGGTCTCCATGTATATATAGTTTCATATATACATATATGTTTGGTTTTTATGTATATATATATTTACATATATACATACATAGTTTGGGTTTTCATGTTCATAAATATGAAATCACATATTTCATATTTATTATTGTGTTTTAGAAAATATTACATAAAATATGCATATTTATGAAAATATTGTGTTTCTAGTTTATAGACTTCATAACAATAGTTTACATCTTTTTTTAAGTCTACAAAATCATTTTGTAAAGTTTCAAAACATGGTGTAGCCAAAATGTCAAAATTTATATGTTTACATTTTCATGTTTTAGACTATTTTGCAAAATGATGATATTTTATATTTGGGAAGTCCTTTTTGAAAACCAGTTTTTGTAACATGTTTATTATCATGTTTACAATCATTTTCCAAAGTTTTATATTTTTTTGGAATTTATTTGATATTTTTAAACCCAATTTAAAGTTGAGTTTTTCTGTGCATTTCAGGTCTGTGCATGTTTAGTCAACTCATTAGTCGACTCATAAGTCGACTCACGAAGTGCAACGCAGTTATGATTTTTTCTTTTGCTGAGTCGACTCATGTAAGTCGACTCATAAGTCGACTTATGAAAGAGCCGTTGCACAGTAATGGCTAGTTTCCAGCAGTGTTTTCTGGGGGCTTTTTTGTTTTTGTTTTTTTTGTTGGGGCTTTTGCTGATGTTTTGGGTTCCTATATATACCCCCTTTGCTCTTATTTTTTAAAAAAACTAAGAAAATATTTTAATCAAGTTTAACAAGGGTTTAAGTTTTGTTTAAGTGTGTTTAAGAGCTTTTAAGCATTTTCGAGTTTGAGTTTGTGAAGATAATTTCACAAGAGCAAATGGAGATCATCCTTTAGTGTTTGAGCATTCACTCTTCTCCCTCTCTATTGTTATCTATAGAGAAGTTTTCTAAACTCAATTTCTAGCTTTGTATTTACATTGTTTATTGATTATCATCTCCATAAGCTAGATTTACATTGAGTTTAGTTTATTTTGATTCTCTCTTTGTTCACACGCAACCATTGAGCTTATTGTATTTACATTCATAGTATAATTTGGGTTGTGGGTTTGTGACCTAGAGAGTGAGCTTACATTGAGTTCTCACCTTGTATTAGAGAACAAACACTTTATTATTATGTCTAATTATGTTGAACACTTTATAATACACTTGTACACTGAGAGGAGTGTGTGGTGAGGACGGAGTCGATACCTAGAGGAGTGGCGTTGGTGGCCTAGTGAGAGGTGATAATTCCGAGCACTTGAGGGAATTGATACGTGAGGACCAACACTTGAGGTTGTAGCTTGTGTATGTACTTTGTGATGATTTGTGAGAGTTGTCGGTTGACTTGATAACCGAGTGTGTAGAGTTTTCGGTTAGCTAGAAAACTGAGTGTGTAGAGAAGTTCTGGCTTCCAAACCGGGTTGTGTAGTGGATTCTCCTCGGGAGTGAGGAGCGGAGATGTAGGACGGAATGTCCGAACTCCGTGATCATTTCATTGTGTTTGGGTTTGGCATTTACGCATTTATTCTTGCATATTGTTATATCGCCATTGTTGCATGATCATATTGTTTACCCTTGTTTATATTGTATATCCTTGTAAATATCTTGTAGCATATCATACTTGCTAGGATATATTTGTTAATTAGTTTTAATTGACATAAAATCGGATTAGATTAGCATAAACCCTATTCACCCCCCTCTAGGGTTATTTCCTAGTGGCATTAGGGCCTAACAATGATATAAATAAATATTACTATATTATGAATATATTATTTTACCTTAACATTTTATAGCAATAAATTATTTTATTATAAAAAATTATTTTACTTTATAATAAATTATATTATTTATTACATAATATATTAATATTTAATATATTCTATTACATTTACTATACAATATGTTATTATAATACTATTATTATATTGTTATGTTATTATTAAATATGTTACTATTATATAATATTTATAATTATAATTTTTATTTATTATATTTTTATATTATTTAATTAATATTACTAATATATTAAATTAACTATAATATGGTATAGTATAGTATAATATAATAAGCAGGTTGATAATAACTCTATATTAATTACATTTAATATATTATGTTAGATATTCTAGTAACAACTTTTCAAACTCAAAACCAAAACACCAAACTTAAAACACCTAAAAGATGTTTTAAAATAAGTGTTGTGTTTTTTGTTTGAAGATGATTTAACTCAAAAAACATCATGGTTTTCAAACGCATGGTGTTTTATTTTTGGCAAAAACACCATGAAAATAAGTAAAACACCATAATATCCAAACGGAGCCTTAGATATTAGTCCCCAATTCATTGGAATTGCTATTACACACACCCAATCATTGAAATTGCTATTAGCTCGCAACCCGTATAAGTTGTTTGAAAATAGTCACTCAGCTACTTTAACCTTTTACTACGGAATCCTCTTAATTGGACGAGATACAAATTTTTGGTGTCGCTTTTAGGGAGGACTAAGTGAGCAAAATCTCCTCATTATTAGAAGATGAAGCAGAAACTAAAGGGAAAACAGACCTTTAGGATCAGGAGTTATTTAGTGTAATTATTCATCTATAGTTAAGTGCTAATTCAATCATGGTTAAAGATCGACCGGATTTTGTAACTGAGTTACTAATTTCCAGATGTCTTACATAATTTTGGGTATCTCATAGCAATTTCAATGCTTTAAGAGACTTTATCAAATATGAAAGATGTGAAGGTCAGCTAATATTGAAATAAACCATTTAAAAAAAAAGAAAAAAAAAGTAAAGGATGTTCCTGCTATTAAAGTTCATTTCATCGCACCAAAAATCAAAATTTGTGATGAAGGTTATAATACACCAAAGCTGAACCAAGGAATTGTTGTTGCCCTCCATTTGTATTTGCTACTTTTTTTTTTTTAATCCTTGTTATTCGTCGTAGACATGTTTGATCTTACAATTAAGAAAAATAAACCTTGTCTTCACGTTTGTTAATGGGAAAATTTTACCAAAGCTTCTTTGAGTTTATTTCATGTTTTTTCCAACAATTAACATTTTTACCATTTTTTTATTTATTCCTTTTGGTAGAATTTTTTAAAACCACCTATTTTTGAAATTTATTTACCAAAACCGACTTGATTAGAATTTATTTATCAAAGCTGACCCATTTTCCTCCAAATTAGCAACAACAAGTAAAGGTTGCTCGGTTTTGTAATTTTTATTAGCATTTTTTAAAACTATCCGGGATTGGGAATCACGACTAATTAGTGATATAACTAAAAAATTAATCAAAATTGGCTAGCTACATATTGATTCTTCGGTTCCTACCACACACATTTACAAGGAAAGTTAAGTGGAACCCACTATTAAATCTTACAGGAGGTTATTGGTTGGTGTAATTTTATGGTAAGTGAGACAATTTTTTGGACTTTACTTTATAGTGTTATTCATTGGGACAATGAGATTGAGATTTCACTTTAAGATGTTATTCATTGAGACAATTAGATTGGAACATTTATCTCAACTTTTCTCAAAATTATCCCGCTTCTACACAAACTTTTTCTCCTAATCTCCAAAATTTACTTCATTCTTAACTTCGGGATGATCATGGAGAAAATGGGATAATTTTGAAGCATTAATTTAGTAAACATCTGATATATGTTAATTGTATAATAATATATTATATATATTAATTATATTATATTATATATATTAATTATATTATATTATATATATTAATTATATTATATTATATATATTAATTATATTATATTATATATATTAATTATATTATATTA